GCTGGAGGCTTGGAGGAGCCCCGGCGGGGGGGGGGCGGGGGGAGGTTTGCCCTGGGGCTACGAAGGGTTAAATGTGGACAAGGGGCTGGGTAAGCTGGAGGAGTGTTGCCTGGGCACAGGACAGCCCAGGGGCATGCCCTTCAGTGGACAGTGCAGGGGAGGCAGGAGGGCCCCAAATACCATGTCTATCCCATCCCGTCTGAGCCACTTTCTCCTTTATCTTATGTCTTCTGCCTTCCACTTGAGCTCCCCGTTTGATCAGTCAGCCAGGATGGACTGGGTGCCTGGCGGTGCTGAGCCGGTGCTGACGACTGCTCCACGGCCAGGCTCCATCCGCCCGCAGGGACCCCATGGGCTCCGTCCTCCGTCCTCATTCCCTCCTGCTGCCTGGCTTTTTCCTCCCCTCCCCCCTCTGGGAGTGTCACCATCTCTCTTTCTCTGTCTCCTTCCTTCACGGTAGCAAACACTGGGTGCCTGCTTTGTGCTGGGGATACGGGGGCGTATGAGACACACCCCTGGTGGAGCTCAGAGTTGACTGGGGGCAGACGGATGTGTAAACAGACAAGCACAGTCTGGTGTGGTAAGTGCTGGGGCAACAGCATGACGGAGGGGACGAGGGACCACAGAGGAGGGACTGACCAACTCTACAGGGGGGAAACTAGGGAAGGCTTCGCAGAGGAGGTGACATTTGAACTGGGGCTCGAAAGATGAGTGGAATTCCCCGGGTGGATGCGCGTGGCGAGGAATTCCAGGTGCGGAGGACGCGTCCCTGGGGAGGGCGACGGCAGCAAGGAAGCTGGGGCTCGGGGGAGCCTTGTGGGGGAGCCTGGGAAGGGAAGCAGGATGCTCAGGAAGGCCTAGAGGAGGCGAGAGGGAACTCAAGAAGGAACACCAGTTGCAGAGCGGCGGGATCGGATCTGGGCCCCAGGTGGCTCTGTTGGCCGTGCAGGTGCGGAGAGGGCCAGGCATGTGAGCAAGCTTGTCGCCCGCATCCGCGGAGAGGACAGCGGTGATGGCGGCTGGCCCGCGCAGCAGGAGTGGAGGAAGTGAATGGTGTCGTGGGTTAAGCGGTGGTAGGGCTCTTGGGGCCTTGGGGATCGATTGGTTGTAGGGGGCGTGGAGGAGAGAGCTACGGATTCTGGCTGGGGCTGCTGTGGCAGGAGGAACCTTTCAGGGATGTTGGGTGCTTGGAAGGAAGCAGATCTAGGGGGTGACACCGAGCGCGCCTTGCTGGGTGCATCCTGATGGCGGGCTGAAGCTCAGGAGGAGAGGGGGTGTCAAGGTTAGAGATTTAGATTTGGGAGTGCCCGCCTAGTGGGAGTATTTTGAGCCTGGGAAACATTGAGAGTGGAGTGCACATGGCAGGTGTCCTGTGAAGCATGATCCCTGAGTTTGTAGGACGCAGCTCAACTCTGGCACCTCTGGATTCCCTCCTCGTTGTCTCTCTTCCTCTTCTCTCTCTGTGGCCCCCCTTTCTTGACTGGCCTGGCTCCTCTCCTGACATCTCCCTGGATCTGCTAGCTGCCCATCCCTGCCCTTTCAGCAGCCCCGAGCGGCAGGCCCCACGCGGGGCTCATGGCACGATAAAGCTCAGTATTTGTGGAGGGAATGAAGGAAGGCTTGCGGGCGGGTCAAGTTCCTGCTGCGTCCTCTGGAGAGGCATCCTGCCCTGGGACCAGGCTCAGCAGGGTGAAAGGGCCCCATCGGGGCCTTCCCCAACCTTTTCTACCCTCTCTAATGTCCAAAGTATTGGGCCTCCCCTGTTGCCTCCCCTTGATTACAATAATGATATTTTGGGGTGGGGGGCTTTGATTGGAAAAACAGACACGGATTTGAGGACTTCTGATCTTACCCCACAGTGTGGAGGTGGGTGGGACTGGATGGGCTGGGGGTGTCGTTCACAACACACAGAGCAACTGGCTCGAGGAGGTCTGTGTGGGAATGCACAGAGGCCACCAGCATGGTGGGGGGGGGACCCAGGCTGGCCCCCCCATTCTCCAGCTTCCTGCTCTTGAAGCCCCCTTCCTGGCCTTCTGTGGCAGGGCCCAGTGGGTCCTTGGGGGCTCCCCTCCTGACTGGTTCTGTGGTGACCACTCTGCCCCAGGCCTACCTGTGCATCTGACTTCGCTCCCGTGTCTTTATTTTTATTCATCTAAACACTGTAGGGGAGAAGACTAATTGGTGGAAAGTCTGACTTGATCATTTTGAAAGCAGTATCTTGGGGCCCCAGGTGGGGTCTCTGTATCAGGAACATTAGGAGGCCGGCCAGGAGGGACTGGCCTTCACAGATGGACAGGTCGGAATGGCTTGTAACCATCCTGTTCATCATGCGTAAAGGAGTTGCTTTTAAGTTTAAGGATATTTGAAAGCCATTTGCTCCCAGTGACTGCGTTTTACCCCCGTTCTTCTCTTCCTGGAGATGCTGTGGGAAATGTGCAGAGCCTTCTTTTGTTTTTCTCGCGGTCTGTCCCTCCTCCAGCCTCACTTCCTGTCCCCACAGGGTCATTCCTCAAACAGGCTGTGTGTGACTGCCGCACGCTGGCACTGCCCCCAGCTCAGGGCCTTCAGTGAGGGAGGAGGCAGGGTCCCTGCCATGCTGGAGCCCCCGGAGATGAGCAGTTCAGGCACCAACCCGGTGTGACGAGTGCCCAGAGGGAGGCAGGGATTGGGGTGCTGTGAGTGTCTGCCGCGGGGGCTCCTCACTAGGCCGGGAGAGGGCGGAGGGCAGGCTCCCCTCTCCCGGAGAAAGTCATGCCGGACCTAAGGATGAGTTCGGTCTAGGATCCCCGCACAGGCATGATTATGAACGGAAAGTTAGAGTATGGGAACCTATGCGGGGCGATAGTCCTACCCAGCCGGTAAGGTTCGGCTTCCTTTCCTCTGGGAGCCCTTCTGTGACTCTCGCTCTGTCTGCTCTCTGAGCTCCTGCGGCCCTGACACCTCCAATCACCCTTTCCAGTGCCTGAGTGACAGGCTCCCTGCCACTGAGACCATGCCCAAGGTCCTGCTTGGGGGTCTCACTCGATCCCTGGTCCTCCAGGTTAGAGTGTGTTCCTTCAAGTGGGCCCCACACCCACCCTTATCTTCCCTGGTGGCCCAGGAAAGACCACAGGCTGCAGGGTCCAAGCTCTCCAAGGGCTCAGCGGTTTGACTTGTACACGTTCTGCGTTGGGGGCCTCTCCAACCAAAGCATGCAAGCCAAGTGGGGAACCGAGAGATGGAAGACGTGGAAGGAATCTACCACACAAAAATGGAACAAAACTAAAGGCAAATGACACACTGGGGGAGATGTTTGCAAACATGTTAAACTAAGGATTAATGTTCTCAAAAAAGCATTTAATACAAATCAATAAGACAAACGTGGAGATCCTCATAGACGATTCACAGGTGGAAGTTCCAGGGGTTCATATGCCTACATGGGAAAACTCGTTCAACCCCTCCATAAGCAGAAATAGAAATGAAAATAGCATGTTTTCACGTACCAAATTTGCAAAAGTGAGAAAAAGTGAATAGCCAGGGTAAGGACTCGATGTTGGGAAACAGGCTGATGGTCATGGTCACCAGTAGAGTATCTGGAAGCACTTTGGGAGTGGGTCTAAACAGCCTGAGAAATATACATTCTCCACCCATGAATCACACTTCTGAGAATCTGTCTCAGCCATGGGCAGGGACACGGGGAATTCCTCATGAGATCATGTTAAGCAACAAAAGTAAGACCTACATATTATAATGCATAATTCCATTCCCATAAATTGTATATTTATGCATAAACCTTTGGGTGATTTTTGAAGATTTTTTTCCTTCTGGGGGATTTTGATCATCATATTTATAGGTTTTATCTTTTTCATATTTTCTATAATGAGCATAATAAAAATCAAGAGGGGGAGGAAAAACCCTCTTGAAATGTGAAATGATGGAACCAAATAAATCTAGAAATTACCTTTGGGGGTCAAAAGGGTCAAATCACTAGCAAAACTTGTCGCTTTGCAAGATTCAGGAAACCTATGTTGATTTGTGCACCAAAATTCTCCATAAGGGCAAGGACAGAGGTCACCAGGCCACAGGGCTGTGGATGGGCTGATTTTGTAGGGTGAGGTCACCTGGCTCTTCACTGTGTGATACTGGGTCCCTTGGCTGGTCTGTTTCCTACTGTGTACACAGCATGGTAGGGGGTCAGACTATCTCATCTCTGAGGGTCTTGGCAGATCTCAGCTGAGTGGGCAACTCTGTTCTTGAAGAAGAGAACTTTGACTCACCCCAGTGAGAGCTGAGAGGGACTGCGGGCTGGTATTTGCAGGCTTCAGGTTCCAGCTCCTTATCTGCCCAGGACCTTGTAGCCTGTTTGCGACCACCACGGTGCCCTGCTTTGGCCCTGCTTCTTGGCCACCCTCTCTTCCTGTCAGCTTCTGGGCCCACTCTGTTGGGGGTGAGTTGGACTGCTCAGGCTTTATTGATTCCTAGCCTGTCTCCTGGAGGGGCAGGAATGGGGGACCCTATGCTTTAGAGCTGTTTAGGGGAGGCATGAACTCAAAAGCCACTGGGGAGCCCTACCTGCCCAGGGAGATGGCGGCTCCTCCCTCCAGGGCCCCCTCTCTGTGACATTTTTGAGATGGCTTGGCTCTCAGGGCCAAGGTGCCCTGTCCGTCCGAAGGCCACCAGACCACCTCCTGGTGCGGGTCCGCTCCTCCCCTCCCAGCCCATGGTTACCTGTGGGCTGACTGGAGACCCCCCCTCACACACACACCCTCACTGCACCAGTTCCTCAGCTCTGCTTCAGCCTCCTGTGCTCAGCATCCTTTCCCAGATCCCGATGGCTTATGGGAATGCCGCCCAGGCCCCTCAGGAACTTCTGTCAGCTGTGAGCAAGTCTTAGAGTCCTCCTTCCCACTGTGCTCTCTCAAGTGTGGGCCAGGCCTACCTGCCTGGTGCTCCACTAAGGTAGGCTGATTTTCTTTCCGGGCTGGGCATAAACTGACCTGCAGGCTTCCAGAAAAGGCGGCATGAGATTGCCCCCTCTGTCAGGAACCACAGCACTCCTGCCTGAGCTGCTGCCTCTGACCGGTCACATCTTCAGCCTCCGCCTGAATAGCAGGGCCCGTCTGGGGTGCGGGCAGAGGAGCCGGCCTGGGCGTGTGAAGTTGCTAGGGAAAGGTGCTCCCACAGAGCCACCCTTCCTGATGTGGGCCTGTTTCTGTGCAGCGACCAACAGATGCACGGAAAGACGGCTTCTCTGAAGAGCCCCGTGTCCTGCTCAGAGAAACTAGCCAAGGTTCAGGCACCCCTGGACTCCAGGTGAGGCCCCTCCCAGTCAGAGATACCTATGGATGGGGGGTGGGAAGCCTTCAGGAGGACATTAAAGAAAGAGGCAGGGCGCCTGGGTGGCTCAGTTGGTTAAGCGACTGCCTTCGGCTCAGGTCGTGATCCTGGAGTCCTGGGATCGAGTCCCACATCGGGCTCGCTGCTCAGCGGGGAGTCTGCTTCTCCCTCTGACCCTCTTCCCTCTCGTGCTCTCTGTCTCTCATTCTCTCTCTCTCAAATAAATAAATAAAATCTTTAAAAAAAAAAAGAAAGGGGCAGATAAAAAAGAATGAAATCTTGCCATTTGCAATGACATGGTTGGAGCTAGGGAGTATTATGCTAAGTGAAATTAAGTCCGAGAAAGACAAATACCATATGATTTCACTCATATGTGGAATTTAAGAGACAAATCAAACGAGCAAAGGGGAGAAGAGGAGAGAGAGAGAGGGACAAACCAAGAAACAGACTCTGGACTCAAGAGAACACACTGATGGGCACCAGCGGGGAGGTGGGTGGAGGGATGGCTGACATGGGTGATGGGGTTGAAGGAGTGCACTTGTCGTGATGAGGGTGATGTATGGAAGTATCGAATCACTTTATTGTACGCCTGAAATTAATATTGCACTGTATGTTAACTGGCTGGCGTTTAAATAAAAAATAAGAAAGGGGCAAAGGGCTTAAAGAAGGGGCAGAAAGGGGACCTTGCGTCTGGTGTTAGGCTGGGCATAGGCTGCCCCGCGCCTCTTCTTCCCAGTCCGGGGCCTGTCCCGGCACACAGGGACCTAGCAGAGTCTAGGCTTCTCAGATTACCGGCCTCCTCCCTGCCCACCTGTCCTCAGGCCAACCTGGCCAGGGCAAAGCTTTGCGTTCCAGCACCACCCCCTCTCCTTCAGCCTTGGTAGCCTCCCTCAGATCAGGTGAGTCTGCTGAGCTCCAGGCTGCCGGGAGGGAGGAGGCTGCAAGGAGAGCAGTCCTGCCGGGATCATGGCCCATGGCCAGGCCCCGGAGCCGTGAGTCTGACATCTCCACCTCACCTGCAAACTGGTCCCGATCCCTGTTTCTCCTGCTCACCTATCCTCGGGTCTGCTCCTCTGCTTATCCTTTGGCCAGAGACGTGGGAGAGGGTTTTTGATACCCAGGGGTGGGCAGCTCCTAAGCATCTCTGGGAGATGGGAGATGGAGGCTCAGGCGGAGCATACCTCCTGGGGGGCCCGCTGCCCACTGCTGTCTGGGAGGAAGGCTCCCAGCGTGCACGAGTGCCCTTCCCCAGGGCTGAGCTCCGTCCTCCCTGTTGCTTATCACTTTGCTGTGGCTCCTAGAGAAGGGCCTCAGTCTTCAATCTCTCCCCCAAGCTTCTGGCTTGAAGCCAGGGCAGACCTGGCACTAAGGATGTATGGGCAGGACTCAAGGGTTCCTTGTCCCTGGAATGGAATGTCTCCTTTGCAGTCTGCACTGGCCAGAAGGCTTGAAGGGTGAAGAGATAAAGAAGTGTGGCCGAGAAGGGGTAAGTGCGTGGAGGCTGCCTTTTCACTGCCCATCAAGGGAGGGGCTCTGGGCAGCCCGAATCCAGGGACTGTTGGCTCCTTGGACGCCAAGGCCTGTCACCAAGGGAAACCTGAGTGACTGTCCCCTCCTGGGTGGGGTGGTGCGTCCCCCTCCCGTCAGTGCTGCCCGTCAGGACCTCCTGTCGTCATGTCACCGAGAGACAAGCTGCGCTAGGGACTCAGCCTCTCACCCCTGCTGGCTCTTTGCCGACTGCTTGGCGCTAAGTCCCCGGAGCCCCTGCCCCCATGGCATTATTTCCTGGTGGCTGGTGCAGGGCCCCTTTGGGACTTCTCAGCCCCAGCTTGTGTGTTTGCAGACGCTACTGAGTAAATACAACCAACAATACCACAAGCTGTTTAAGGACATTCCCTTGGAGGAGGTGGTTCTCAAAGGTGAGCTGTCTCCCAGGTGTGCCTGGACAGGTGCCTAGAGTGCCTGAGGCCCAGGTCCTCTCCTCTGGAGCCTCCAAGGCACAATTTTGATATGGGAACTGGCTGCCCTTTGCATGTGGTTGCGCCTGTTTTCTTTAGAAGTCTGAGAAGACCGGGCAGATGGAGGATCTGAAATGGGATTTATGAAAGTATTCTTGGGGCAGTGTCAGGGCTTCCAAATTTATTTCTGTTCTGTTCTTATCCATGACTTTTCTTTCCTGCTCAGGCTTCTCAGTGAGCATGTGGGACACAATCGAGGCCCTCTCTCCAGGGCAGGGCAAGGAGTTCTGCCCAAGGGAGTGAGAATCCAGGCTTAGGGAACCCTCTGAAGCATGAGTAGAGGAAGAGGAAAGATCTAGCAGTTTGGTGGGCTCAGGTGGGGCAGTCAGAACTCTTGAGAAGGACTCAGGGTGCTGGTGGAATGGGTGGTTTGGGGCCTGGGGTTGGGAAGGGGGGTTCTGAGCAAGGCAGTCCCTGAGGCTGGGCTCTGGACTCCTGAGTGTGAGGACGTAGGCCCTGGGCCTTCGGGGTTGCTCATGGCAGTCTTCTTTCCTGTGACTTCCCAGTGTGTTCCTGCGCCCTCCAGAGAGACCTCCTTCTCCAGGGCCGGCTCTACATCTCCCCCAACTGGCTCTGCTTCCATGCCAGCCTCTTTGGCAAGGATATAAAGGTAGTAATAAGTGGTAAGGGCTGCAATGGGCCCATGAGGCCCCAGCTGGGAAAGAGACAGGGCCCCTACCCTGCGGGCATTAGGCACCTGGTGAAGCCTCTCACTGTGAGGCATCCCACCTGGTCTCCAGGGAAGTAGCTTCACCCCTTCCAAAGCAGGGCCCCAATCTAGACTCCAGAGTCTAGAACAGTTCACAGCCAATTTATTCTGCCTATGGGTGCCTCTGAAATGCCTTCAGAATCAGAGTGGTATGTCACACTTTGGGGGAGCCATAATTGTGGCCAGGTGGTGGCTCAGGGAACTCCATTACTGGAGTATGGGGTTCACCAGGGCAACCATCCTTGGCCTCCTGGATAATAGGGTGAGAGCCCAGAGGGCAGGGGCAGGGCGGTGGGACACCTGGAAGGGGAGCCTGCATCAGAGAGTAGAACACTCACATATTCTCCCACATAGGGCCAGGCTTCTCCATGGTGTCCATGCTTGGCTGACTGCCAGTCAGGGGGCACTATGCAGGAAGCAAAGGGACTGTGTCCTTGGGGGTGAGTCCTGGAGAAGCATGCATCTCCTCCCTCAGGTGGTCATTCCCGTGGTGTCTGTCCAAATGATCAAAAAACACAAGATGGCGCGGCTTCTTCCCAATGGCCTGGCCATCACCACCAACACCAGCCAGAAGGTCAGTGAGTCTCTGGGCCGGCCATCCCTTGTAAGTCTCCTGTCCCAGCCCCAGGATCCTGACTCTGGTACTCTCTCCAGTCTGTACTTACACCACCCTTTTCTGTTTTCTTTCTCTGTCCCAGTACATCTTTGTGTCACTGCTTTCCCGGGACAGTGTATATGACATGCTGAGGAGGGTCTGCACGCACCTCCAGGTATGGAGCTCCGGGGCAGGAGTTGGGCCAGGGTGGTTGCTCAGGCCTAGACTGAGGTCTTGGGACAAGGCTGTTGGGAGAGGTTGGCCCGTCTCTCCAGCACAGGGACCAAGAGCAGGGAGAGGCGAGTAATGGGCTCAGGCCCAGTGTATCTGAGCTTAGTCCTTGGACGGGGTGTCTATGCTTATGAGCATGTCTCTTTGAGGCCAGTGGCCGCTGTGTGTCCCCATGTGTATGCCCTCAGCGTGCAGACAGAAGCACGTGGCTGCTTTCCGGTAGGCCTACAGCTCTCTTTGGCCCACGCTGAGGAAGTGGGGAGGGGCAGCAGCATGGGGAAGTACATTGCCTTGGATTTACCCTCTGCTCCAGCACTAACTAGGCGACTCTGGCAAACTCTGGGAGCTAGGCTTCCTCTGACCCAAGGTGGCTTATTTGGAGGTAAAGCTCTCTTGGAGAGTGCTAACACTTCCTCACTCCTGACCTTGGCTGTTCCTGATGGACAAGTGACCCCAGGTCCCTTTCTTCCTTAGCCTTCCAGCAAGAAGAGCCTGAGTGTAAGAGAATTTCCGGAGGAACCTGAGTGCGAGTCCCTGGTGAGAACTGAGGTTGGAAGCGAAAGCTGCGGGTGTGAGGGAGCCTATGGCTCTGAGGCTTCAGGGCCTCCCGGGCAGCAGCCCACAATGTCCCCTCGTCCCCTTCCAGGCTCAAGAGCCAGTGGCCAGGCTATGCCAGGCGGTCCCCTAGACCTGACACGCTCCATGCCATGCGGAGCCACTAGGTCCTGGGCAGATCTGCTGACTTTCTGAGCAGAACAGATGTCCAGCCTCCAGAACACTGCCCAGGTTGGATCCCACACCTGTACAGCCACAGAGCCAGTGACCCTCCTCTTTTCTTTAGCAGTGTTTAGGTCAGGAGGGCCTTCCAGGGGATGGAGATGTCCTCGGGGAAGAACTCCAAAGGCTATCACTGTAGAACTCAGACAGACTCATTTGAGATGCCGAGGTCCCAGCAGTTTCCTTTGCTGCTGGGGTTCTGGGTAGGCAGAGCTGAGTTGCTAGAACAGTGATGGGGATGGAAATGACCCCAGGGTGTTTGAAGTCTCCTTCACTAACCACTAAGCATTTAGCCAAGCATATAATATGCACTATACTATGCAGGGGATAGAAGGTGCTGTTCCCATTTTTGTTGATGGGGACCCTAAGTACCCCCTGCTAAGGTCAGTGATGTACTTAGGGTCAGAGTCCAGATTAGGAGGACTTATCCAATCTAAGATACATCGTGCCAAGCTTTCCTGAGCTCAGCGGATCTGAGCACGTACCTGGGTTAGCTCACGTCTTGGATCCCACTGTGGTTCTATAGTAGCAGTCTTCAAAGACATTGTTCCCTGGAAGAATGGCTGGTCCCAGCAAGGAAGCAGGTAAGAGAGACACGTGGTTGCTAAGGCAATGGTTTCCCTCCTTCTGGGTACCTGCCATCATGCTCACTAGGTATCTGTATAGGTAGTACCTGGAAAAGCTTTGATAAACCCAGTGTGGGCCCCTTAGGACAAGTGACATCCCAAGGGTCATAGAGAGACAGTTTCTCCTGCCTTCTCTGCAGGAAGTCCTCATCCCTGAGATGAAGTGGAGAAAAGTGTGCCCAGCCTCCAGGTCCCTGTCACTCCCAGACAACATCCCTTGTATACCTCGGGCATCCATGGACTCCACGGACAGCTTCTTTCCCTCCAGGAAGCCTCCCGGGTCTGGTGAGCTCAGGGTGCTCGTCTGTGACAACTGTTTGCAAAGACCAGGCTTTCCCTGCCCCCACTTCTGCAAAATGGAAAAATCACAGCCAGCAAGGCTTCTGAGAGCTGTTTCGTACTTTATCCAAATCCATAAGGGAAAGCCAAGCCAAAAGCCTAAGCAGCTTGAGAATGAGGGGAGGTGGGCTTGCTCCTTGCTGGGCTGGGCGTCCTGCCACAGGACGACGCCTAACTGCTCTCCTATCACAGAGAAGGCCGTCTGTGAGGAGGAGAAGCTGGAGGAGGAGCCCAGGAGCGACGGGGAGCTGAGGCTCTGGGATTACCAGCTCCTCAAGGTCATCTTTGTGCTGTAGGTGACTATATTGGAGATGGGAGGGGTCAAACTCACCTGGGTGTCTGGCTGTTTGGAGCAGGGGCCTCTGTGTGTGGGGAGGTCAATGTCCAGAGTGAGGGGAAGGTCCTAAGTCAACTGAAAGCTCCTGAGTGGTGTCTGGAGGCTACCTGACAGGCCCTTCTGTAGCAAGACAAAGTGCCTCCAGTCTTTATTCATGCACCCCTGTAATTTAGGGTTAAGGCTGTGCAGTAGGGAGGGGCAGGATATGAAGCTATTGAAAAAAGGGAAAGTTGCACGGGACTGGGGAGGGGGACAGCTGACAAAATTGGAGAGGGCCATCAGATAGACTAGGGGAGAGCCATGGCCTTTCTGCCACCCACCTTTAGAGCAGTTTTTGGAACCCCAGACTTGTCTGTAATTCTGCCTAAGGACCAGTCGAATGGTGAGCATGGTGGGGCCCCTGGCTTCCCCTCACCTTACCTCGTGATCTTCCTCTGGTTCTGCTGGCTGAGTTCCAACTGTCAGCCTCAGCACTTGCTGGGAGAAGGGGCGTACCACCTTGGGGGATAATCTTAGCGGCCTTGAAGAGGAGGCAGAGGACCAAGGTGGCTGGTCAGAGGGAAGGTGGGCTCAGTTTAAGGACCCAGAATTCCTGCTGGGCTTCAAAGACACCTCCATGGGGACGAGTCTCAGGACCCCCACATGGCCTCTGGGAACAAAGATTTCCAGGCCGAAATGTAGCTGAGAGGCAACGAGTTCTTTAATTCCGCCAGTTGCAGGAAGTAGCTTTGTCCCCACTCCTATTTTTGGTGAGCCTCCAAAAATGTCCTTTTTCCAGATAAGATATCCTTCTTATCTCTCTTCCTCCAGGATCTGCTTCTTGGTCATGGCCTCATCCTATCTGGCAGTCCGCATCTCCTGGCTAGAACAGCAGTTATGCTCCCTGAATTGGGATGGCCCGGTCCCTGGGCACAGGTGAAGTCCTATCTCTTCCCAGTGCCTTAGGGATTGAAGGTAAAGGACAGGAGCCAATACCTATGGCCAGGCTGCTTGTTGTCCTGGTTGGACTTGGCCCTGCCCTTGGGCTGGCGCAAGCAAGGTTGGACACAGTGCGCAGGGTAAGGCCCCTTCTCTGATCTGGGGATCTCCTGTGTGCAGGTAACAACCACCTTGGCTTCTCCAAGAAGAACGCTCTGGGTGCTAAGCTTCCACCAGTGACCCCCGTGGTTTATGCTGTTGCTGTGTTGAGACGGAGTATGAAGGAAAATACTCCAGATCCTTCCTCCTCCCTGCAACTCTTATCCCTGCTGTTGACAAAGCTCCTACAATTTGGGGACTAAGACACGAAGCCAGATTCTTGGAACCAGCCGAAAAATTCTGCATACTAAGCTTCAGCAAGCCCTTGGACAAAGAAAGTTAGCGTGTTCCTTGGAAACAGTCTGGCACAGAGGCAGAGCACTAGGAACCACCCAAGGGACAAAGGCCACGATTTGGTACCTGGAATGCAGCTCTCCACGGCCACGCGGCTCGCGGCAGTAGTGGCACATAGGCCCAGACGCAAGCCACCAGTGGGGCTCTGCTCTCTCCCAACATACTATGCTCTCACTGGGGCCCCCGAGGGTCCCTGTCCTGGGGCCCAAAGGGACTGGGAGCTAGGCACCTGTCAGGCCCAGAGCAGACAGGGGAGGTGGGGTGGGGGAGCTAGGAATGACCAGAGGAGGGTGCGTAGCTAGGATCCCAGCCAGAGGGGAAGGTTCCCGCCCCTCACGAGGAGGCTGGCTGAATCCGGAGGACAGTACTTGCAGCAGAGGATGGTGGCAGGGGTTGCGAAGGAGGGCCGAGGTCCAGCGTTCTGTGTCCTTAGCTGCCACTTCCTGGTGAGACAGGTGGAACAGGGCCTGTGGTCACTGTGGTCACAGACCTGGTACTGCCTCTTCCCCTGGTGTGCTCAAACAGTTCTAAGGTGCCCCAGGCAGGAAGTAGAGGATGGGGGGTGGGGAGGGGAAGGTCGGTGGCTTTGATTTGAGCTGGCTTTGTACTCCCTGCCTGACTGCCTGAGAGGCCATGACCAATAGCAGCCTGTTGGGGAGATGTGGCTGGGCAGCTGGGCATGAGGGTGTTGGGCCACCGCAGGGCAGAACTCACTCGTGTCACTTGGAATCGGGGAGTTGCAGGCCATGGGGGAGGGTCCTCCACTCCATGAATAAGGTCGGGGTGTCCAAGGTGGGCCTGGTACAGTGCAGGGACCAGGTCAAGGGGTTCTGTCTGATACCTCTGGGGACAAGAGAGGTGGGGGATGGGAAGAGTGGACACAGTGGTAGCTTTGCCTTAGAGAGTTCTCCATCTCTCCAAGGCCTTCTCTATTCTAAAGAGCTTCTCTGTGCCTCAGAACTCTGCCTGCTGTCCCTGGGACTCCAGTATGCCAAGACAGTGCCTTTGGGGGTTCTAGAAGGGCCTTCGTGAGGAGGTCAGGCGTGTCAGGCAAAGTCACTGGTGATGGGGTGAGTGTGTCAGAAACAGTCACTGCTTTTCCTTCTTCAAACACCTGAGAGGTTAATCAGGGAAAAATCCAAGTGGAAATGAGTTATTGTGGAGCTATGATTGTCCTGTTTATGACAAACCCAAATGAGGATGTGGGGGACGGATCTGTAGGTGACAAGTCCCTAAGCTCAGACGAGCGGTCTCTTTATTCTTCCCCGCTGCAGTTTCTAGGATTAAGCTTAGAGCCTGCCTGGGGGGTTGCTTGTACCACCTCTGTAGGTGTCAGGGGAACTCATATTCCACACTGGATAAAAACCCATCGTTGTTTTGGAACCAGCCCCCTTCAACACTCCTTTTTATCACGATTTCAGGGAAATAGTCCTACTTGCCCCAGTGTCTCCCCGCCTTGGTCCTTGCTGAAGGGCAGGGAGAACAGGTCCATTCTCTGAGCCCTGCTAGGTTGAGCCAGAGGCTCGTGAGAGACCACCAGAGGTACCAAGTCCTGGGTAGCTGTGCCAACATGCTGGTGAATCCGGTCTCCAGCCATGCCCTGGGCTCAGAAAAGGCAAGAGGCATGCTATAGGGGAGGTGGCTCTGGAGGTCCTCTTGGGCATGAGTGTGCCTGTCACTCTGGAGGGCCCCTTGTCCGTTTCTCCCTTTTGTTCCTCAGCCTGGTCCTGTGGGGCCACTGTTCTTTCCCTTGTGTTCATTTGTAAACTATGTGTATTTATACAGACCTGCTTGCACTGGCTGAGTCCCTTTGAGTCCCTGAGAGATTGGTTCGACTATCCTTGGGTTGTTCCGGCATGGCAGTAGCCTTTCAAAATATTTTAAAATATAAACATTTGATTTTTTCTAGTGTCCTGTGGTATGGAAAGTTCATTTTTATCTTTTGACGACTCACAAAAGGTCCTCGTGTTAACATATTTGGCACTAAGGAGACTGACGGGGCCCAAGTCATCCCCAGAATCTCGAGTACTCTGCAAATCTCACAGGGCTGTGGCTGAGCCGCCTCATACTTCAGGCATACTGGGAAGGTGAAGAGCAGCCACAGGAAACCTCTGCAGCCTCCTGCCTCTGCTGGGGGGACACCGAGAAGGCTTCCCTATTTCTCTTGGGCAGCTCCAAAGCAACGTCCTGGGTTCAAATGGTACTGTGCTTCTGACTCAGGAATTCAAGTCCAGAACTCCGAGCCAGAAAAATCCCTGTGTCCTTTTCTATGACATCGAGCCTAGATTAGGGAGGTGAAGTTCCAATTTGTGTCACGTTACCTTTCTTTTTCCCTAGGATGCCCCTTCTAGTAGTGATTCATTCATTCAGCAAATACTGAGCCCAGAGCACGAGCCAGGTACTATGCGGGGCACTGGGGATATAGCAGTGAACATGTCAGTCAGTATCTCTGTGTCCCCATGGCACTTACACACCATGTAAACATAAGTTCCAAGTAAATATGTAAACAAGCAAGGTAAGTACAGATTGTGGTTAGGTTCCATGAAGGGGAGAAACGGTGATATGAGTAAATGGGGAGTTGGCTATAGATGGGTGGTCGGTCAGGCAAGGTTCTCTGAAGTGACTTTTAGATTAATGTTAAAGGATGAGGAACCAGCCACGGGAGGAGCATTTCGTGGCAAATGGATCAGTAACTGCAAAACGTAGGAGAGAACACATATGTCTCTTCTGCACAGAGAGACTCTGCATGACGCTAGGATACTGATCAGGTGGGAGAGTGATGTGGAAAGAGGTTGGAGAGGTCAACACCAACAACATATACAACCAATTAAAAAATGGGTAAGGAACTTGAATGGACATTTCTCCGAAGAAGAGATACAAATGGCCGACAGGCACATGAAAAGATGCTCAGCATCACTAGTCATTAGGGAAATCAGAACCACAATCAGGCGCCACTTCACACACATTAGGACGGCTACTCTCAAACAGAAAACAAGTGTTGGTGAGGATGTGGGGAAATTGGAGGCCTTATGCACTGCAGGTGGGAATGTAAAATGGTGCCGCCGCCGCTGTGCAAAATAGTATGGCAGTTTTTCAAAACACTAAAGGCAATTACCATATGATCCAGTAATACCACTCCTGGCTGTATACCCAAAAGAACTGAAAGCAGGGTTTGAAGAGTTATCTATCTGCACACCCACGTTCAGAGCAGCATTACTCATAATAGCCGAAAGGTGGAAGCAACCCAGGTCAGGTGTCTATTAACCAATGAATGGATAAGCAAAATGTGGTATATGCATACAATGGAATGTTACTCATCCTTAAAAAGGAGGAAAATTCTAACACATGCTATAATATGGATGAACTTTGAGGACATTCTGCCAAGTGAAATAAGCCAGCCACAAAAAAGCAAACAGTGGGGCACCTGGGTGGCTCAGTCAGCTGAGCCACTGTCTCTTGATTTCGACTCAGGTCATGATCTCAGGGTCTTGGGATCGAACCCCTGTATTGGGCTCCGTGCTCAGCGGGGAGTCTCCTTCTCCCTCTCCCTCTGCTCCTCCCCCTGCTCACACGCACACTCTCAAATAAATAAATCTTTAGAAAAAAAAAAAGACAAACACTGTATGATTCCACTTATATGAGGTACCTAGAGTGGTCACATTCATAGAGACAGAAAGTAGAGTGGTGTTTGCCAGGGGCTGGGGGGAAGGGAAGCGAGAGTTATTGTTTAATGGGCATAGAGTTTCAGTTTTACAAGACGAACGGAGTTCTGGAGACGGTGATGATGGTTGCACAACAATGGGAATATACTTGACACTATGGAACTATACACTTAAAAGTGATGACGGTAAATTTTATGTGTATTTTACCACACACACACACACACACACACACACACACACACAGACAAAGAGGCTGGAGAGGTAGACAGAAAAAGGGAGTTTGGACTTTATACAATCCCTGGGTACTGCTGCTCAGATCAGAAAGTTTGGAGTCTGTAGGATCAGTGGTTGCTGAAAACAAATGCTTTCTTTTGCTAGATGAAATAAACACGTGAATGTAATATGCAGGAAAATATGGCTGATAATCGACATAATATACCCCTTTCCATTATTCTCAGGGACTGGTTCATAGCAGCAGCATCACAGAGAGGGCATACAATCTTTATAATTTTAAAGTTGAAATGAGCTAGCTTTATAAGGAAGAAACAACTGCCTTAAATTTGGAGACATTGGAGAATATATATATGCAGGAGCCTGGATTTTACAACATGGGTGTAGCCAGACAAGGCAGGGTCGTGGGAGGAGCAGGGGCTCTGGTGAAAAGGACATTCAGGAATGAGGGGAGCTCTGGCTGAACTGTAACCCACAGGGGTCTCCTGTGAGTAAGAGACTGCCCCCACCCCTACCCCCGGCCCCCAGCCAGCCAGCCTTGGCCCGCCTACCTGGTGGCCATGGCATTAGGACACCTGTCGAGCTGGGTGAGGTCATGAACCTGGGCTGTCCCTCTCTCCCAGCTGCTGGGCTGCAGAAGCAGGGCATCCTAGGG